AACAGCATGAAACATCGGCAAGATCCACAAATACCGACAACGACCATTAGATACATTCAACCCAGACTCGACCACATTCCCCAAAGCAGCCAAATAGGCACCCCGATTTGTAAATTCGACACCCTTCGGCCGCGACGTCGTCCCACTCGTATATGCCAAAGCAACAACATCATCTTCCGAACCAGCCTGAGCCTGCAGCCCCTCCCAGCCCTTATTTCCAGTAGCAATATCGTACTTGAGACCTTCCAAAACCGCCTCGTCAAAGGGACCCGACAATTGACCCTCCGCGGTATCGGTATCCGTATCCACAATGATGGGAATCTCCGGCTTCGCCTCCCTATATACGCGCAGCAAGGGCAGGAATTCCTTATCCACAATGATCACCTCCGCTTCCGAGTGCGTAAATATATAAGCGATATCATCTTCTTTGAGTCGGTAGTTCACAGCTAGCAGAGATTAGAACCGTCAGCATGAAACACCACACACAAAGAATAAATAGAAAGCAATGGACTCACCAATATTCACCGCCCCGGCGGCCCCAATCCCAAAAATAGACTCCAAGAAAGCCGGGGTATTGGGACACAGAATGCCGACTCTTTTGAACCCGCGCTTCTTCAAGAAATACGCTAATCCTCTTGCCCTGTCTGCAAACTCGAGGTAGGTTCGTCGGAGTTCCTGACCATCGGATGTGATGTGGTAAATAGCTTCTGCCTACAACCACCAAAAGAAGACATCATTTAGCCACAATTCGCTAACGTTTTCATTTGCGCCTATTCAGTTGGAGAACAATGTAGATGAACTCACGTCCGGTTCAATCGCTGCCGACCTCTGCAGGAAATACGCGGGCGAAAGTGTGTGGAAGTTGACTTTGTTGTTATTGCTGTTTTGCCCCTGATCTGTAGAAGGGCCTTGGGTATCGGATGTAGATGGTGTGGAAGAAGAAGAGGACGGGATCAAATGGCCTAAGAGGCCGGATAATCTATTTTTGGCGGAAGACATGGTTGAATTGATTCAAGGGTGGATGGCCAGTCCTACTACTAAGTAATGTTTGGAGATTTGTGGAATTACTGGCCAATAGAGAGGAAGAAAGAGGGGACAATCAAGTGTGTGTGTGTGTGTGACGAGAAGAGAGATTTGATGAGAAGAGAAGGAGGAGGAGGATGAGAGGAGGAAAAGGGAATGGGAGGGGACCTGGGGTTGATTTTAGTGAGGGATACCTCCGGACCGAGGGTAATAAGACTAATTACTACTGGGTAAGTAGTACTACAATAGACAGTAGTAGTAATAGTAGCCAAGGTAAAAAAAGAGGAACAAGATGCGGGGGAAGCAGATCATCATCCATCACCGTCGGTAAGCGGAGACGGAGAAGGGAAAAGCGGACGGGGACCAATTCTTGGGCTGGGCTGGGGCTGGAACTAGTGCCGGGAGGACCATCTACTGTGTATACCTAATGAAGGTCTGTTCAACATAATCTTATGTATGATGAGGATTGTATATCCTACAGAAGTATCAATTTGTACTATTGTTCACAGGCAAAAATCAATTGATTTATTTACTCTATACCACAATCATACCATCATTACCTCTCTAGACCCATTGACAGACCGATACATCAAATAAACGGTAGACTAAACTCACCGGATCCGGATCCGTTTCCACCCACAGTTGCTGTCTGTAAGTAGTGCCTGTCTGTACCCACTTAGTTTGAACAATCTCCGGACCGAATTCAATCTATGGTCAGTTGGTCACACTCATCGCATGCCCGTGCTTTTGAAACCCTCTTTACACAATTGTGATATACTGAACCAAGAAATTATGTAGTATGCAGAATACATACAGGGATGTTGCTTAGCACAGACCGGCTGAAGAAATGTCTTCAAATCAGCCAATGACCAAGCCAGTCATATCGCAAGCAGCGCTAATGGCCTCTAATGATCAATTGGACGAGACCGGTGTTTGAGAGTCTGCAGCTATGTTAGTGCGGCATGATTGAGGAGGATTATTTAATCTATCTAGATATGAGGTAACTAAAAATCAGACAGATAGTCACATAATACGCCAGGCGATATTAAGTGTGTCGGGGCCACTAATTTGAAAGAGAGGTGGATCCCATTGATCCTGTCCGCTGCCCAGGCGGTGTCGTGATGTATCTCTACTAGGTACTATCTACCATCTGTATCGGTTATCGTAGGAGTGCATATCGGATCGGAACTCCAATGGGCAAGTTGGGGGGTTTACTGGGTGACTGATACGGCTCCTAGTGACGTCGTACGCATCATCTGGACTGGCAATCGGTGGCGCTCAGGGCATCGTTCTACACAGGAACAAAATAGGGGCAGCATCGCGTGGGCACGGCATGGTAGGTGATGAAACATGGAGCCTCGTCCGGCATCCTGGGTAGTCGCATATCGCAAATCAAGTACAAGATAGGCAGTACTCTCTCTCTCTCTCCGTCCGGTGGCGGGCTAGAAATACACATAATTGCAGGGGGCCAGTAGTAGTAGTAGTAGTAGTAGTAGCGGTGGTAAATGGTGCATCGGATTCGTCACAGCAAAGTCATTTGAACTCTTGAAAAGAAATTCTTGGATTAAACCGCCACGGCGCGAAATAACGGGTCAGCTATTTTGAACAACCTTTCATCCCAAGTGACTCCTGTATTTTTTTTGTAGAAAGAATCGATCTCTCCAGCCTCCATGTGCGTCACAACATAAGAATTGTGGTATTTCATGAAAAGGTAGGGACAGTGAGAAAAAGGTCGATCGGTTTGCTGTCCATCTTCTTCGCAGAGAACCGTTTCGCGATCCCATCCCATCCCATCACAAACACAAGCAACCAGCCGCGCAACTAGGTATCTAGTATCCGAGGGAAGCGAGCTGGCTCTTGGTCTGCTCGTTAACACCCGCCGACTTCTGGGCGTGGACGAGTTGGCGGCGAGCGGCCTTCTTGCGCTCGTAGTATGCACTGCTCTTAACCTTTCTGCGCTCCTCAAGTCTGTACAAGTAGAAAAAACGAATCCGTTAGCTTTCTGCACCCAATAATTCCAATATCTCCCCATATCATCCCCTCCAATGCAGTATAAACGTACCTGGCAACAACGTCCTGGTACTTCCAGCCAACCTCGTGGCTGAGACGACCAACGGTGCAGTACTTGCGGCCGGGGCGCAGGCGGAGAACACGCAGAGCCTGGGGAACGACAACGCGCTTCTTCTTGTCGTAGGGGGGAGGAACACCCTCGAAAACCTTCAGGCGCTCCATAGCGGCGGCACCACGGGCGGTCTTGTGGGGGATCATGCCGCGGACAGCCTTGTAGAAGATGCGGGAGGGGGCACGGAAGTGGAAGGGACCTGTAGCGATTCAGCACTCAGCCCCCAAAAAAATCAAGCGTCGTCTTTCCCCCCATCGTGAAAGGGGGAAAGTCATCGGGTAGTCTCACCTCCGCGGGTGGGGTTGAAACGAGTCATCTTGCGAAGGTAGGCGTGGTACTTGACTATATCGCGAAATCCAGGTCAGCCCGTTTGTCCACCAGCACAAATGTGTTGCTTGTTCCTCCGCAGCCATTCCATGCAGTTGTCGATGTCCTCCTCAATATGCCCGCGAATCGTCGCACAATTCCCCATTCTTCTTCCCAATCATCCCAAAGAAAAATCCATATTGCAAAATGAAATCGAAAAGAAACCGGGTCGGATAGAACATACGCTTCGCGCGGAAGAACTCGCCGGAGATGTTGAGGGCTTCACATCTCACGACGACGATCTTCTGACCGTTGAGCAGCTGCTTAGCAACAGTGCTGGCCAGGCGACCCAAGAGGTGTCCCTTGCCGTCAATGACGACCTGCGAAAAACCCAAGAACTCAAGTCAGCGACAAATTGTACTTTTGTATATATGTGTGAATTCCCCGACTCCAGAGCCCTGTGACGCCCTCTTCATTTTGACATGTCTTTGTGTGTGTATATTCAATTTCAAGGAGATTGTATGTATATGTGGGTGAAAGGTTTCGGGATGGGGCGGTACGCACGACTGGCTCGATGGCGGACATCCTGCTCTCTGTCACCGGTTCAAAAAGGATATATCCAGCGAAAGGAAGAGCGCTGCTCTAGGATACTCCCTTGGGATGTATGTTGTCGGCGGTTGTTGTCGTTGGTGGGCTAGGTTCAACGCACACAACGATGTCGGATGAGTTCGCTGGTCGTCGCTAAGCGAGCGGCGCTACTTCCTCTTTGTGCGGGAAGAGCCCCGTTCGAGGGCCACAGCCCTAACGCCCGTGGCTTGTAGGTCACGTGAACCGTTCCGGATCGTCAAGGGGCCCTTTGATTTTCCTTATCTATTATGGTTGTTATTATGCGAGTCCTAATCTCCATGTGGTTTTGGGGTTTGGCCATGGAGGTCTGATAGGTTGGCTCAGTATTTCATCTACTTATATTGGGAGTGGTGTAACTTTTTCACCCCTTGGATGGTAGACTTCATTGTGACTATGCGTGCCGTCATGTTCCATCGACACCAATGCTAAGTCCACCCCGCAAATACTGTATCGCGACACTAGATAGAGACCCAGTCTTCCCCCAGACAGTCCAGGCACTCCTTAATACTAGTACTCAAACTCAACGATATGAATTTTCCACGGTCGCATTCATGCCCAAGAACAGCAAATGAAACTCCTATTGCAATTCAATCAAAAATTGACCTCGATTTAGCATAGGATTCTTCTTATTATCTAAAAGAGTAAGCGCCATATGAACAAGATCTCCGGGTCCAGCGAGGGTTTGTATATTGTCTAGAAAGAAAACATTATTGTATACATTAATATTAATATCATCAAGTACGCTTTTGCGTCTTCACATGCCGGCGTTTTTTGTTCAGCGAAAGAATTCAAACAACCCGTAACGCCCAAGTCGAATCCAGAAAGAGGGCATTAGCTATATGTTCTTGGCGTGTGTATTCTTGAACATCATGCGGCGTTGAAAAATATCCTGTTTCTAATCACATTAAGCGGTGACATCCACCTAGTATAGAGGCTGATTTGCGTCGTAAGTACCCCTTGCAATGACCTCTTCGAGAGGCCAACGGGGAGGCTCAATCATCCTGGGTCCCTTCGAGCTATCGTGCGCAGACAATGGTTCCCTCAGACCACCTGCAATGCCTGAAGAGAATTTGATCTCCAATGCATCGCCTATTTCATCGCACGCCTGCAGGATGCGATCCAGATCGTCTTTAGTGTGCGCGGCTGAGATGCAGAGTCGCGCCCGTGACAGCTCCAGGGGCGTGGCAGGGTATGTCACAACAACCACGGAGATCTTGCGACGCAGCATTTCTCGAGAGAAGGCGGGCATCTTGGCCGGATTGTACAGCATCAACGGCACAATAGGAGAGTCATCGTGTCCGTAGACGATGAAGCCCAGTCTCTTCAATCCAAGCCGAAGGTAGCGCGAGTTGAAAGCCAGGCGCTGCATCCGCTCGCGTCCCTCGCCCGGGTGAAGAGGATCCTCATCAGCAATGAGTCGCAACGAGGAGTAGATCTGAGCCAGGACAGGAAGCGACGGGGCTTCTCCAAAGATTTGACCAGCATTTGTGCAGCGAATCTTGTCAATGATGGCTCTATCGGCCGCGATATAGCCACCGTTCGCCCCGAAGGACTTGGTAAACGTTCCCATCAGGATGTCGACTTCCGCCGGGTCTACTTTGAAGTAGTCGCAAACTCCGCGTCCGTGACGTCCAACAGCTCCAATGGAGTGTGCCTCGTCAACAAAAAGGTGGAACTTGTACTTCTTCTTCAATGCCAGTATCCGGGGAAGGTTGCACATGGTACCTTCCATAGAGAACAGTCCCTCCACGGTAACAAGAATCTTCTTCCACGGTCTATGCGTGCGAGGCTGACCTTGAGAAATTGCCTCCCTGAGACGCTTCTCGAGGTCGGCCATGTTGTTATGCGCGAAGACTTGAATAGCCGCGCCAGACAGACGAGCACCAAACCGGATGGACGCATGATTGAGTTCATCAGACAGGATCAAACATCCCTTTTCCATTATGGAGGGAAAGATAGTCGCATTCGTCACAAAGCCCATGGAGAACACAACTGCGGCTTCTTTCCCCACAAACCGGGCAATTTGATCTTCCACTTCTGCATGAAGCTTCGTGATTCCTCCCTCGGGAGTCGATGCAATGCAAATGCCATCCCGGCGGAGTACCTCCTCGGCATAGTCGGTGCATGGGCCTTCCGACTGAGCAAAACCCAGATAATTATACGAACTCAGGTTCAGCGTATCCGTCGTTGTGCCCGTAAGTCTGAAATGAAGGTTGTCTTCAGTCGTGCGGTCCAACAGCGTAACATGCCTGCCCGGAACACCAACAATCGGCCTCTCAAAGCAGTCATTAATCCGTTGCTTCAAGCGTCGCGTATAGAAACTCTCGAAGTCGCTATACAATGACGCATAGCCATTCTGGGGCTTCAAGTGCCGGTAAGTATGGGAGCGAAACCACTTGTCCACGAAATCATGGAAATGGCCGAGAAAGATCAGCACGAGAAAGCTGACGTAGGTGGTGAGGACGACGAAGTACGGAGGCTCATCAATGACCGGGTCAGGGATCTCTCCGCCGGGATGCTCGCTGGTGTAGAGATGCGACGGATCGCCCAGGGGCCCGAACTCGGCGTGCTGCTTGGCTAGCTTTCGAATCGCTTCCGGGTCGGATGGTGCCTGGTCTTGGGTTACTGCTGTCGTTCTCATGGCATCGGGAGAGCAGCCACTAACAGCGCGAAGGGAGGCCACAGCAGTAGAATGAGCCGTAGGGGAGTCGGGGGATACACCGGGATTGCCGCCGCTGATTGCTGCATCCTTCTCGGGGCGCGCTTTACTGCGCTTCCAGCGGGGCATCATGAAGCAGAGGGGCTGACGGTAAACCCTCAGCCACAACTAGCAATAATATTGATGCTGAAGAATGCAGCTGAGATAACGGCGGCTGAGCAGGGTGAGGTGAGAAGGGGAGGGGAACAGGGGAAGGTTGTATCGTGAGGTCGCTGAAGCGTGATTCCTCCATCATGTAATGGTGAGAGGCGGTTCCACTCGGCTTGTTCGGGGGGTGAGATTGGCGCCCGATCATTGGTGGCTGATGCCGGATGCCTCCGACGGGCCAGGCGGAGACTTTCGGAGTTCATTGGCCAGACCGCTGACTCAGCATGGCCTGATGGCACATGGGCGCAACTTGTTGCATTTTCATCTGCTGCTTAATGTTAAAACACATAATGAGAATATTAGCCAGGCTTGTCCTTTCGTCAGGTGGTACAATCCTCGGGGTACCGTGATAAAACCTTCTAGCAAATTCTGTGCCTAAGGGCTGACATCCGTATATGGACGGCAGCTGATGTTGGACAACAACTTTAGAGTGACGGCAGCATTTGAAACTACGCCTTTGTCACTGCAGCTAGTTAACTATAGTCCGCTCCGCTTTAGGTAACACAGAACGGCTTCGCTAAGCCTTCACTGAAACAGTAACGCCATCGGGCTGTGCTGACAGCTCAACACGAAGGGGGCGTCGGATCAGGGCAAAAAGCATGAAGATGCGTCGAAAGACACGTTTTGTCTGTGTCTCTGATACGCATGCCTACACGCCGTCAGAGGCCGGATTTAAGCTTCCTGCTGGAGATGTCTTAATCCATGCTGGTGACCTCACCAACCATGGGAGCGCTCCTGAACTGCGTAAGACAATGAGCTGGATTGCTGCAGCTGACTTCGAAGTCAAAATCATCATCTGCGGTTCGTCTCTCTCCCGCCCAGACTGCCAAATATTGGGCCTCTAAGTACGGGCTTTGTTGTCCGAGAAGGCCACTCGTAGGGCTGAAGGAGACGAAGAAGTTTGATGGCCAAAGAATACGTACTAAGTACCGGTAATCATCAGGAAACCATGATATCACACTAGACCCGGGTTTCTACGCTGAATACGGGTCTAGCTTTCACGGCCAACATCTAGAAGATACCCAGAAGTGTCTGGAAATAGTAACCCAAGCATCACCGTCAATAGTCTATCTCAGGCACCAGTCAGCACTAATCCGGTTGACCCGGCCTAACGGCCCAAATACCATCTTCAAGGTCTTTGGCTCTCCATACTCCCAGTCACCTGGAATTTGGGCGTATGGATACGAGTCTTCAGATGCTGGTGCGCTTTGGAACAGCATTCCATTGGACACGGATATCACCGTGACCCATACGCCGCCTTATTCGCACTGCGATAGCCGAGTTGAAGGCATTTCAGTCGGATGCACAGCCCTGCGGGGTGCATTAAGCAAAGTTCGGCCATCACTAGCAGTATGTGGCCATGTACACGAGTCGCGAGGCTCGGAGAGGGTGCGATGGTATTCTTCGCAGGCATCGTCATCACCAACGGTGGATGTCCAAGAGCATAAGCATCCAGTTATGCTGCCTGCCCCGGGCAGTAAGAAGCAGAGCCTGGTCGATCTCACGGGCAAGAAGGCACCCAAAATCGATAACAATTACTTTGCCGGCAACAACCTTCGAGCGCCAGCCAGTCAACTGTTCCGACCATCACAAACGGCCCTGCTGTTACCGTCCTTAAAGTGGCCATCTGAAGGATTCCAAGGCTCTGAAGCCGATCAATCAACGTCATCCTTCCGACCTTTGTGCTTAGAGGAAGGACACACTGAGAATGAAGACGGGTCTAATTTAAGGCGACGCGAAACATGTATTGTCAATGCGGCCATCGTGGCGACCAGTTGGCCGCATCGGGGTGGGAAACGGTTCCATGCCCCTATTGTGGTCGATCTAGAACTACCGGTCTGGGAAGAGGAGAAGGGAGGAAATGAACCCCACGGCTAGAATGTGTAGCTCATGTCGTCTGTCCTGGATGGCCAGGTTAGCATTGACTCCGACGATTGGCTGTGCAAGGTGGAATATCTCTTGTCGTGCAGCAGGCAGCTTGAGCTTTGACCTGCGGTTTGACGTATGGCCGACCGTTTCGGGTGGGATGCATCACTGGCTGCCTTGGATTTGGGAGACACTTCAGCCATGTAGAGCACTCCGCCCCATACTGTTTTGAGTATATACACCGGCCTGGTTGGGACTGGTTGTCGGTCATTGTAGAGGAGCGGGAATAAGTTACGCTGTGACTCAAGAGCAGCAAGGCAGTGGTGTGGTGGTGATGCTCCCTAGCTCCCTTGCTCTTTGTCTTGTGTCGGGCCGTCATTTGATGAACCAGAAACCCGGGATGGAACAAGTGGAAGATCGGGAAAGCAGGGGTAGCGTGGTAGCTGAGGGGATGTAAACAGCACACAATGATCACTGGGAGCTTACGTTGAAATTCATAAGCAGCAAATGAAAATGGCAGTTCCAGGTGTCGAATGGCCATGGAAGATCATCTGAAACGTGATGTGGGTGAATGACATCCTTTGCTCATTATTGTAGACTGGAGCAGGATCACCAAGTCACTCTGAGACGGGTATGGCAGCAAGAGGTCTGTGACCAGAGCCAGACGGAGATAGTCATGACCATTCCTTTGAGCATACACCAGTCAAAGTCCAGGACTAGAGACTGTTCAGAACAGGCCGCGGAATGGAGGCGCTTGATGCTGTCCTATGAGTGACAGTGATGAAGTGTGGCGGGGTTGAGACGGAGCATCGGGTCCTACCAATCCCTACTTAGGCTCCTGACTGCAATGTGTGAGCGGACCCTGTGAGCCTATCTCCCTTATTGCTGCGTGCATGAAGAACATCAGAACATCAGAACAGCTCAGGGAAGTGCTGTGTACTATGCTGCTGTCTGCGTGGAGAATCAGATCGTCGAGTTATCTGTATCGTTATCGACGCCCCTTACCCACAGTGGGTCTTGGATGGTTCACGATTTGGAAAGAAACCGATCTGCTCCGCTACAAGCTATGATGTCAATCGGGTTGGCCAATCTTCCGATTGAACAATAAGCAACATTCTCAAGCAAAATAATCAATCACGTTACAACTCAACATCCTCGATGGTCTAACGGTCATGATTTCCGCTTGTCAATCCTTAATAGGAACAAGCGCGGGAGACCTGGGTTCGACTCCCAGTCGGGGAGATATTTTTTGCACTTGAGGCTTTCGCAAGTGCGCCACAAGAACCTGCGACTGACCTATTTGGTATCGATTGTTCTTTTGGTCGAGACAGCACCACGCATCGCTTCCTAGATGGAATTGGTTCAATCGCTGAGACATCCTACGATCGCACAGCATGAGCACCGAGCCACCATCTCGAGCACCTGACTGTGTCGCAAGGTGGCAGACGACGGGTCGACCTGATGCTGCGGATTGAACCCACACCGTCACCATTTCCTCCACTCTTCATTGTAGTGATTAGATATGCTAGGCATGAGATAGATTTTACATCCAGAGTCAGCTGTGAAGGCAGAAGCTGAAAGGGTTAAGAGATGCGGACGTAGGCAGCCCGCCCGTAACGACGCTGCCGGGATCAGGGCGTGAAATGAAACCGAGCAACGCCACAGAACTGAGGTTAGCGCGCTAAAGAGGCCTTGATATCCCTCCATTCAGCCGTAGCCACCGATTTGTTATGGGGCCGGTGGGTAACGACCGATTTTCAAGAAGGCTAGGTAGCCGCCAAACTGGATTGATAAGATGCAGTTGGGGTTGATATTCGCCAACATCATTGGTGGTGGGCGCCGTGGTAAAATCCCCCGGGTGCAGCTGGCTGATGAGGGGAGGCCTGTTTCGCAATGCTTACTGCAACACTAACATTGAACGCGTAGGTAACCTCTCCCACGAGGCACTTGGGACCTCCACACCCCACATGAAGGCCTGCATTGGCGGATGATGTGAGCCAGCAAGGTACGTACCATAGGACATTGTGGTCAGCAAGTCTCACAGGCATGGGCCTCACAGGAAGCCCCCCGCTTATTGCCTGTCACTCCCAAAGGAACAGGCCAGGATTTCAGCGTTCATCGGAACATGTCATACGAATGCTGTAATAGTACACACTACACACCTTTTCGGCTATGGGTAAATGTCGGGGCCGCAGCAACCGACTCGCTCGGCCTGGCAGACAAAACAATGGGCGCTTCATCTGACAGCGCGCCCGAGCCGATGATGGTCCAGAGCCCGGGAAAAGCTTTCGAACCTGAGTACAGCTGCCTTAAGCTCCTGTTAACGTTTTGCATCAATTCTGCACTTGCGAGCCTTGACGAAGAGCTGGAGCACCAGCGCCCCTTGATCGAAGGCTATTGGGAGCGTCTCATTGGATGCGCGGGATCGCGAAAGTGAAGCAGCACCATGCAAACTAATGCCGGGACAATCATTGCATGGACAGCGGGCGCGAATTGTTGGCTGAGCCGTGCAGCAGACATCGGGTGCAGATGACTTTGCACAGGGTCCAATTACTCCTTCGAGAACAATCAGCTCGGCGAGGAACGTTCGGTGCGGCGTGTCATGGGCACGGATAACCTGGGGGTGGGACAGGCGAGATAGGCTGACAGGCCATTGCGTGGTACAAGACAAGCCCTGCAACCACTAGTTACGATCCCAGGGTGAGCAAGCCAGCCATGTTGCCATGCTCTGTATCAGCCGTTTTTAACTTTGGCCGTTTGATGCCGATCAAATTGATAGATCTACACGATTCGGGGCCTTACCCCGCGAAACTCGCAGGATACACCTTGTGACAGAAGATAACTGTCGTGAGGGATGGAAGACCATACCACTGACGAGAATTCATGGTTTTCCTTTCCCTTCCCCTTCACAGCCGTGAGGAACCGGAAGTAGTAGCTAACTAGTGAGTAGTACTAGTTTCTGGAGAATCAGACGGAGACAAATGAAAGGCGGGACCTTCCGGGAACAATCCACGGGACTAATTCACGCGCGCCCGGACCGGATCGATGGATAATGATGGACTGTAACCATGGACGACGCCCCTCCAGGTACCATAACCATTATGTTCCTGAAGTTCAGTCAGCCAGCCGAGGTACCTTTTTTTTTTCTTCTTCCTCTACCCCACGCATAGGAAGAGGTATCATCCCTGTACGGATGAGACCATTTTGCGATGGGCTGGTTCCACTCCACCGGACTAGTCCATTCAAAGTAGTAAGGATGCTGTTGTAGGAGCAGAAGCCAAGAGGAGGAGGTAAGAGGAAGGAGAGCAGCGAATTCGCTGTGCCAATTCCAGATGGACTGCCGAACCCAGCGCATCGTGTCCGGTGAGGCGACCCCAAAATAGGATGCAGCTAGCAGAGCGCATACGCAGGTGACTGCTGATGTGATTGGACTGTAAATCCCTCCCGGTGAAGGGCAAAGGCTGTGACCATTAATGGGGTTAGCCTATAAGGAGGCAAAACAGACCCAAGGTGGTGTGTGGGAGTCGATCCAGTCAGTGGCAGTTTGCCAGTCGGCGTTTGGGAAGGAAAGAGAGGGAAGTGAGGGAAGTGAGGGAAGTGGAGGCGGTGCGGGGTTTCTTTCCTCGCGGCGTCTTTTTGGTGGTTGACAACTCGGCCTGACTGGTCAAGTCCCCCCGGTGCTGAGGGAGAGGGTGTGTTCCGATCGAAGCAAACGTCGTTGATTAGTTGGTGTTGGAAGTCTCGGTGATTCAATCAGAGCAATGAGAGAAGAAAGATTCTGTTACGATGTACTACCATAGGTACGGAGTACTTATGGGAGGTAGTACGCAGTAGATACTACTACTTGCTAGTCATTATCAACCTAGAAACCAAACAGTAGTAAGTAGTACTTACTGCTTAGTAGTAACTAGATGCTCACCAGGCAGAGAGTGCCCTGTTCAGCTACTATTTACTACTACTACTACTACTACTACTACTAACCTATTACTGCTAGTTAGTTACAGAGTACTACCGGATAGATGGATAGTTTACTCCATAGAGGGACATCTCCTCGTGGAAAAGGCCCCGCAGATCAATCAGGCTGATGACGGACGGTCGCAAAGTCGAATTCGCTCATCTGCCGGGGACCACCAGGTGGATGACCAAACAGACAACCAGTCCTGCAGACACCCATGGCTTAGTCTCCTTTGCGTCGTAACTTCGACGCTAGCAATGGGACAGGCAAGATGGATTTCTGGCCAAGCGCCCGCCGTGACCGTGATGAAGATGTGACTGAGAACGGCCCAGCATCTCCCTCTCACTTGATGCCGCAGTTGCACATAGGGCTTCAGGGTTTGCGAGAAGCCAACATGATACGAAGGTCAACAAAAGTCAAGGCTTAGATACTACTAGTTTTTTTCTCTCTTGTACCTTGAAGTCTTCTCGCCAGGTACCAATCTCTCCAATAAAAATGGTTCCTTCATGGATCGGAGATAAACCCACGGTCGAACACCACCGGGGTATTTGTACCACATCAGGTCCAGTTTCATTTCCCTTCGTTTGCAGGATGATACGTCTCATTCTCTATATCACCTTCTGGTGGCTGTTTTATAATAATAATAATCTTCGATCCTGTATTCCGTATTCTTATGCCTCCTGTGATCTACTTTTTGGACATTGTATATGAACCAATTGTCCTGTTTTCATCCTGCCTTTCTCCTGAAAGGCATCAATGATTGACCGCTCCTTGCCAATCGTTCATCGTTGGTTCTCCATTATTGCAACTTGCCTGTTAACGGTTGTTGCTGTTGTTCTTCGCAAAGCGGGCCCTTGGGCTTCCTAATTGTGACAAGACCCCATCGTTGGTTTCACTTTCCCACTTCACCGCTGCTTTGCAGTCCATCTGTTGGCTCCCTCTGCACCAGGAATTCGAATGCAAAGAGGATCATAATCATAGTACTCTCTTCAGAGTCATCCTGCTGCTGCTGCTGCTCCTCCCCCTCATCATAATCATCATCACTCCCAAGACATTCACGAGACGATCCGACTCTTATATCGTCATTGTTGCCAATCAATCCTGTTTGAATCCAGTTGTCCTCCCTGCTGCTACTCCTGCCCACTTCTTATACCACCGATATACTTCGCAGTTGGCCTAAACCCCAGCAAGGACAATCCAACCAGACGCAGCTGGTGGCATCATCGAGCGTCTTCTAGTTAACTAAATCATCAGCCATTATTCATCGACGTTGGCGTCTGACCAGCTAACTCCCTAACTCCCTCACTCGACCAGCAACCCTGACTAAACGTGGTGCCACTTCATCTGACCATCCTTTAGTCTTAGTCGATTTGGCTGCTTTTTCTACTTTTAGCTTACACTCTTCCGGTCTACAGTTGAAGCAGCGTGGCGCAGTGTGCTTGGGTCCGATTGTTTGGCGGTATTTGCCCGTTGGGGGGAAAATCCCTTTTGATTTTCTCCATTTTTCCTCTCCTTCTCTTTAGTATTTTGACTTTTTCCCCTTTTGCCCCTCAGCGCCGGTCGCCTCTCCCGACCAGATAGGCACATCCCCCCTCTTGATTGAACTGGAGTGCATCCACTCTTACTACTAACTAACTTCGGGTCTGGTTTGCTGGGCGAAATTACCCGGGCCAAGTACTGCCCCCAGCTGTTCCCCTCTTACTTTTTCTCTTGGGTACGTACTTGGGAATCTTCCTGCCATACAACTTGGGGATCCATCAGTAACCAATCCCTAAAACCTACCAACTAATTCTTTATTATTTTGGGTTATTTTGCCTCGCCATTTCCCTCCCCCTCCCCTCCCCTCCACCCTCTCTGTCCCTCTCTTTGGTTTAAACCCGCTGCACATTCCAAACCAGACTCTTACTAGTGACTTTTATTCTGCATGGTTCATATTCTCACTCATCATAAACTCCCCGTGTCTCTCCTTTTACTCATTATTACTCATTAATTTCACATCCCAATTCACTACGACTGACTCCCCCTCCTGCCTGCCGGTTTCACCCTACCCTTTTGTCATCCTGCTTCTTCCCCTTCTTTCGTCTTCGCCGGCCTTCTCCATGAATTGGCCGCATATCCGATCGGGACAATCCTGACTATGCGCCATTGATCGTCGAGCACCCACGTCACCCCATCGAGCCGTCTATCCGCCCGCCTTGTCCATCTCAGCGTACCTTACACATCCGCGCTATCGCTGCAACCCTCCGGCTTCGCCTCCCTCCGTTCAGGTACTTACCGCTTCTGCTGTCCTCCACGCTTTCTTATACAACGCCACACCGCGGCACTTGTCGCTTTCTTGTCGCTCTGCATTTAGCATCATACTCTCTATTTAAATCATCTGTTGATCCTGCATTGAGGCTGGTTTATATGTTTTCTACCCCATCTTTCACTAGTGTCTTACACAGACCATCATGGCAGCCGCGCCAGATATCGATCCATACGAAGTGTTGGGGGTGGCAAGGGATGCGGCCTTGTCGGATATCAAATCTGCTCATCGCAAACTCGTGTTGAAATGTCACCCCGACAAGATCAAAGATGAGTCGCTGAGAAGCAAGGCTCAGGACGAATTTCAGAAGGTGCAGCAGGCTTACGAGACGCTTTCGGATGAGACGAGAAGGGCCAAGTACGATGCGAAAGCTCGGCTGGCTGAGTTGCGTCGCCAAATGCACGAACAAGGCGTACCGGTCAATGGTACCTCGGCCTATGCCACCCCGCGCGCCAGCGCCCCTCGCGAGTATCGCAACGGACGGTACTACGAGGAGAGGACGCCGGCTGATGCAGCCACCTATTCCGATGACGACCTCCAATTCTCCGAAGAGTCGCGCTCAACATCCCGAAAATACGATGAGTATAAGAAACGATATTCCTCCAAACCCCCGAGCGAGAAGAAGAAGAGCAAGAGTGATGATGGCCCTAGTACTCGTGCGGCGAGGGATATGGCTCGCGACAACTCGAGGACGACCCACAGCAGTCGTGCCAAATATCGTACCAGGGAACGACAACGGGATGCCTACGAGAAGTATGAGCGGGCCGTTCCGTACAGCGACTCCGAAGACGATGGCGGCGCATCTGACTCCAGCGCCTCGTCCACGGTTTATGTGAAGATTAAGCGCCCCTCGGAAAGGCGCAACCGGGAGGCATCTTCTCGCAAATCCCGACCGGCGGATCTCCCGCGCCGGCACACGTCGACCCGCTACGACGATGAGTACACGGATGAATATGAATCGAAGCATGAGTCGAAGCATGACAAGCTACACACCACCGCTAAAGATTACATTGAACGCTCCAAGGGATCCGTTCCAATCGAAATCGACAGACGTCCACAAACCTCCCGCTCGCCCCCGCGCAATCATGGCTATGAATCCGCCGATCCAGAGTCTTCCTCGTCACGACACTCGGGCCGCACAAAACGACCGAGCAAGGAAAGTGTTCGGACCAGTAATTCTCGCAATGGATCATATGAGAAGCTCGGGCCCCAAGCCCGATCCTACGAAGTCAAGGTACCTAGCATGCCAACTGCGGCAACTTCACCGTCAGTGAAGATTCCGTCTTCTGTCCGGCCGTCCCTTCAGCCCTCGCGCTCTGCGAGCGCTGCACAAACCCATTCCCGCCCCAGGAGAATGAGCCGCGAAAATCCACTGCATAACATGGTTCATGAGGCGAGTCGGACCGCGAAACTGCGAACGGACAAGTACGATTCGGGCTACTCGAGTCCGGGCACACCAGAGATGGCAACCGGCGAGAGTCCGCCCAAGTCGACTCGCTACAAGATTGTGACGGAACCGGACACCGTGCTCAGAGAACCCAGCATACCGCTACCCCAGAAGTCCCCCAGATACGCAAGGGGGGGTTCACCGCCACGTCAAGAACGCCCTATGCCGAAGCCTCCCGTTCGGAGTAGCACCTACGCCTACCCCACAGAACACATGCGCTATGAGTCTGCTGCTCGTCCCAGTGTGTCCCGGCACTCCTCAAGCCGGCCTGTGTATGGCGAGGTTCGCTCGCCCAAAGACAAAGAGTACAGGTATGCGCGAGAGGTGGGACCAGATTACATCGCACCCCGCGATGCTTACATGCGACAGCCATACGGGGAGTACCCGGTTCCGCCCCCTGAACGGCGGCAATCCACATATGCTGGATGAGTGTCAATGATGACTTGAGAAGTCAGGTCTACAACTGACCGCATCTGTCGAACTACTCAGGCTGCGACAACAGCAAGCCACCCTCTTACCCTCACACCCTCCCCGCTCTAGAAGCTCATTTTCTTCGTCGATAGTCTCTGAGCACCCGCATGCCTTGACGTCTTTCCTGTCTGATCGTTGGACGTCAATACATGCCACGGCCTCCCAGCTATCACTTTTTTGCGTATACGGTCCATGTTCGATGAGTACCATGTCATAATTTTGTCATTTACCCCCTTTCGATTCTGATATTTTCGCCTCCCCCTTCTTCTTCCCACTACGATATACCTGTTTTTATTACTACTATAACAACATCCGCCACTCAGTCGGCGCACGGACCAGGGCTATCTATCTACCCTGTTGGTTGCATTTTGGTTTATATTATTTTTGGATTATTTGGTTTAGTTTTTGGGATGGTGTGGCCATGAATGACTTTCACGGCGGTGGGGCTGAACACATTTAGGAGTACATGATGACGATCACGAATGACGAAATTGATGTTGAAATGTGTGGGTGGGCTTTTATTTGCATTTGCCCGCTCCTATTCACTACAGAGGAAAGAAACAAACAGACGAACCATAGACATGGAAATATTTGACTTTGTCCTTTTTCT